TGCTGAAAAGGTGAGGATATTGCCTGGGTATGAGCTTGCATTTTTCTGGACCGCAGATCCCATTTCTGTGAAAAGCACTGGAAGTGGAAGCTAAAATGTTTGGTCTGGCATTAACGCATGAATCAGCAGTGAAGGCTGTGCTTGGACACCTTTTCTGTTCTTTACAGTAACACAGAAAGCATGGGGGGGGGACTGGGACCTAAAAGAGGTGAAAAATCCACAAAGTTATGTATTGTAGCCCAAGGTTTGTTAATTACTACATAACAAAGTTTCAAATGAAACATGGGAATTTTTCCAGACTTCATCCCTAGGTGAACAAAGCAATGCTAGGCAAGGAATGCGGTATTCTACTACTGACTAGGCACACAAGCCAGGCCTCAGCTCTGCATCCCCCTGCAGATGTTACCTCCGGTGTTAAGGGTAGCATAAGGGCTGCTTTTACAACTTAACAGCTACCTTACTTCAAAGGGTTTTCCATTCCATCCAGCAAGCCCACATTTCTGCCCTGTAATTTCAACTAATCACACCAGCTTCATTTTCATGCATTTCCACCCTCCTTTCATGGGTTATTCTTGTACTTGTGCTTACTTGCCCTTGGCATCTATTTTGAGGAACGGCTTAATATTTAAGCACTTCAGAAATGTAATGCGTTCAGCCGCACGGTGCGTTTTCGGCATCTACTGGAAATAATGTAAATATCAAGTCCTAAAGCGGCAACCCAGATGCAGTCGGCGGCTGTTAACATTTTCCCGTTTAAAGGTTTAGAAAGATGAAGCACACCCGTCAGGGAAGTTAGGGAGTGCTGCAGGCGTCCTGTATTTTACAAGAAATAACTGGGCTTTTGTGATCAGTTTCAGATGTATTGTACTTGCATTCAACTAGATTAGGGTTTCCCGTACTTAGGTCTCCAGTTGTTTTTGGACTACAACTCCCATCATCCCTAGTTAGCAGGACCAGCGGTCAGGGATGATGGGAACTGTAGTCCAACAACAGCTGGAGACCCATGTTTGGGAAACCCTGAACTAGATGCTCTCCTCTGCTATATATGGAGAAAATAGATGGACACTTTTCTAGCCTATCAGGCCCTTGGGCTGGATTCAGACGAACATTCAGACATTCATGTGACTGAACTCAGAAGAAGGTCACATTTGTTTTCAAGAAAGTTTACTCCAGGTAGGTGTGCATAGCCTGCAGCCTAAGTTGGATGATCTCGGGTCCTCCTGGAATCCATGATACAAGCTGGTTATAACTTAAGTCCCACCGAGTTAAACTGGACTCAAGTTCAACAGCCCAAATCTAATCAACTTGTTGTCGTTATGTCCCTTCCATGCAGATGCTCCTCAAGATGGCCAATTCTCACTGCTGATCCCTCATAGAATGGTAAGAGTTGGAAGGGACCACAAGGGTCATCTAGCCCAACCCCCTACAACATGGGGGTTCAAAACTCTTAATGATTGGGAATTGATATTTGGGTTGTAACCAACTTCTGCCTGCCACAATAGGACTTCCTTCCCCCCATTTGCTCCAGAGAGGCAAATGATAATAGTAAGACTGGGGATGCAGAGAGAGGAGAGGGAAGTCATTGTGCTATCAAGAGCCCTCTGCCATCAGAAATATAAGAATCCCAAAAAGGGTGATGAATGAGACTATGAATAGGAAATCAAAGTTCTCAACATTTCTGCCTACAGGTTCTTCCCACCCAATATTCCAAGTGCAACTTCAGTACTCCAGAAAATCTTCAATGTGGGGTTCCACAGGGCTGAATCCTACCCCCTACGTTGTTTAACATCTATATGAAACCACTGGGTGGGGCTATCGGGAGGTTTGGAGTATGTTGTCAAGAGTATGCTGATGACACTCAGCTCTATTTCTCCTTTACATCTACAGGTGAGGCAGTCGAAGTGCTGGACCAGTGTCTTGCCTCGGTTAACGGACTGGACGAGAGCCAACAAACTGAAGCTCAATCCAGATACGACTGAGGCACTGTTAGTGGGTGGTTCTCTAGACCAGATGGGTGGGAGATCGCCTGCTCTTGATGGGGTTACACTTCCTCTGAAGGAGCAGGTTCGTAGCTTGGGGGTACTCCTGGATCCTTTGCTGTCGCATGAAGCTCAGGTGGCCTCAGTGGCCCAGAGTGGCTTCCATCAGCTTTGGCTGGTGGCCCAGCTATGCCCCTATCTGGACAGGAATAGCCTAACTACTGTTGCCTATGCTCTGTTAACCTCAAGGTTAGATTACTGCAATGTGTTACACGTAGGGCTGCCTCTGAAGACGGTTCAGAAACTTCAGCTAGTGCAGAATTCAGCAGCCAGGTTGCTCACTGGAGCAAGGCGGTCTGAGCATATTACACCGATCCTGGTCCAGCTGCACTGGCTACCAATTAGTTTCCAGGTCCAATTCAAAGTGCTGGTTTTGACCTATAAATCCTTAAACAGCTCATGACCGCAATACCTCAAGGACCGCCTCTTTCCATATGAACATACATGGACCCTGAGATCATCTCCGGAGGTCCGGAGGGTAACACCACGAGAACGGGCCTTCTTTGCAGTGGCTCCCCGTCTGTGGAATGCTTTCCCCAGGGAAATTCGCCTGGTACCTTCATTATACACCTCTGGGCGCAAGGCAAAAATTTTCCTTTTTAACCAGATTTGATTGACATCCTGTGCCCTTTTAAAATGTGGGGGTTTGGGGGAGAGCAGATATTGGGTTGTTGTTTTTATTTTGATTATGTATTTCGTGTTTTTATATTTTGATTTTATTTTGTGAACCGCCCTGAGACCTCTGGGTATAAGGCGGTATATAAATTCAATAAATAATAAATAATGATCTAAGTAAGAGGGCAATTCTTCCTCAATTCCAAAATAGCCTACAGATGACCTTGCAGTGGAGCGGTTTTTGGGGATGCAGAGAGGGGGAAGGGTAGAAACTGGAAGTCCCGTTGTGCAAGCATATTTCCATTGTGCCAGAAGGCTGACATAAGTAGGTGCCACTTTGTATTAGATGTATTGAGATTAATTTTAAATTCAGAATGAGATTTTCCACCATTTTAGGTACAATATCCTGAAAATTGAATATTGCACATGCACAAGATATGGAACTTCTAACACAACAGCCAGCATGGTATTTTGCATCATAAGAGTACTCTGGGAACCATCTATGAAAAGCATTAATTGAACAACACTGATAAGAAAAGCTGGAAAATACTTTGCACTGTGAAAATTTATTACCACCTCAAATGTACCAACTTCATGCAACTCTCCCTTGTGTGGCAGCACAACATATGACAAAGCATTTCTATCATTCTTTGGAAGGAAAATGTGACTGGTAAAAACAGTAATAGGTTATCTCGTCTTATTTTGCACGCACTATACCAACTAATTCATCATCATGTGAAGCAGAAAGGTAGGGCTCCATTAGATTATCCTCTCCAAGATCTAAATTGCTGCAAGAACTTTCTCTGACTTGTAATATCAAAGAACTGCAACGGGACGTTGTCTCTGCAGTTGCACAACATGCCAAATATTGATTCAACATACCTTTCTGCTTGTGCAAGTTATATACGGGTTCAATCCCTAACATAGAGAGACTTCACCCATAATCAGGTTCATGACCTGATGTCAACACTAGGAAGCAGTCATTGAATTTATCAGCCAAGTATGTGGGAGAGCAAGTGCTTCTCTAATAAAAATTGTTCTGAAGAGTTTGTTGACGACTGAATTAAAGTAATCAATTCTCTGCTGTAACGAGGTTCAACAGCTAGGTCTGCAAAGCAGTTACTGGAACTTTTAATATTCAAGGACATTCGTTCTTGCAAACATAGTAACATGAAAACTTCTGTGTTGTCTCCATTAGTCTGAGAAGCAGACAGTCGATAAATTCAGGATGCATTCCCCAAATCTGCAGTGCCACCCAAATCCAACAGATTCATTCTGAAGTTTGAGCCCTACAGCTTTTGTCCTGGCGATTAGGCTGAAGCTTATCAGAATGGCCCCAGTAGTTTCAAACTCTCATTAATGGAGGCGGCTGCAAACCAGAGTTCTGCAAAGCTCCGGGATCCTGCGGACGTCTTACCGAGGTTTAAAGCAGTCCAACAAAGGGCACAACCTCCTGCAATTCCCCCTCGTTGTGACCAACCTGTGAAGAAACTAAACCAACTATCTTCCTACAAATGCCCTTCCTTGCGCTCATGAAGAAGCCAAACAACTTAGGTCGCAGACGGGACAGGAATGCAATTTTAAGCTCCTCTGAAGACGCCTACTAGCGCCTGCTTCCCAAAAAGAAGAACCATTGGGGAGGAAATAAAAAGTATTGGCGTGTGTTCCCCTCGTTCCTCCAGCCAGCCAAAGCTCTCCCAACCCCTCTCTCCCCGCTCCTTGGAGCAGTTTTCAAACCAGCACGTTAGAGGCAGCCAGGAGGAGGGAGGAGGAGGAGGAGGAGGAGAGACGTTGCCTGGCTCCCTGCTCGGGCAAGATCCCGCTGTTCAGTCTGAATGGCACCGAGCAATTGCTGGGCTCGCGTCTAATGAGGGAGGGAAGGAGGGGGAAACGCGCCCTGTTGCGGCGGGTGCAAAACCAAGGAGACGGGCCGAGGGATGGGAAGCGCTTTGGGGGGGACCAAGAGGGGCTTTGAATGGCTGAAGAGGGAGAGAGAGAGAAAGCGCGCGGCCGCTTCGCAGCTCCCCTTCCGACGCCTCACGGGCGGACACAAAGAAGCCCCGCGCGGAAAGGCAGGCGCCCGCTCGCCCTCCCTTCCACACACACCCGCGAGCGGCACGGCGCGCACTTTCTGGCACGCGTTCTTCGGGGAAGACGCGCAGCTCGCCTCTCCACACAAACACACACACCAGTGTCCAAGGCAATGCGTAAAAGCGCAAAATGGGAAGGAAGGAAGGAGCCCCGCGCGGGGTAGCCGGGCGATGCATCCTCCCGGCCTCCGAGGCGGGCGGAGAAGGGCTCCCTCTCTCTCTCCCCACCCCACCCCACCCCACCCCACCCACTCACCGAGAAGCAGGAGGAGCCGGAGCCCCCGCGCCATCTCCCCAGCCATCTCGCGCTCGCCTCGGCGTCCCCCTTCTGCTGCGTCCCGCTGGCCACCTCCGGCCCTCGCTCGCTCGCTCTCACTCCATGCCGCTCGCAGGAAAAGAGCAGCTCAGGCTGCGGCGGGACTCTCTTCGCCCAGGCCGGCCCAGCCGCCCAACCCAGCCCCGCTCCGCCCCTCGCACACCCGGGACAAGGAGGAGCTTCCGGCCCCGGAGGAGCAATCCCGCTCCCTGCAAGGCAGGCCGGAACCCACCGACCCTCCCACCCCACCGCGCTCCCCTCCCAACGTTACCTGCCCGGCTGCCCAGCGACCCCTGCCGGGCTTGGAGGCGCTTTTCTCGGGCAGGGAGGCCCGAGGCGCGCGCTCACCTCTCGGCGCTCCGAAGGTGTCTCAGGTTCTCTCGCGCCGACTTTGAGAAGCAGCTCCCTGCCCCGTGTTCGTCTTTCCCCATTCCAGATACCTGGAAGCCACAAAGAGGTGGTGTTCGTGGGTGCCTTGGCCAACACAGAACTGATTTTTGGACACCAACGTGATAAATACAGGGTTTGACCATGGGTCCCAAATCTTTCCTGTGGCTGATCTTCAAACTACAGTGGTACCTCAGGTTACATAGGCTTCAGGTTACATACGCTTCAGGTTACAGACTCTGCTAACCCAGAAATAGTGCTTCAGGTTAAGAACTTTGCTTCAGGATAAGAACAGAAATCATGCTCTGGCAGCAGGAGGCCCCATTAGCTAAAGTGGTGCTTCAGGTTAAGAACAGTTTCAGGTTAAGAACGGACCTCCGGAACGAATGAAGTACTTAACCCGAGGTACCGCTGTATTATTATTAAATTTGTAGACCGCCCTTCACATATAAAAGCTTCCGGGGCGCCAATTCTGTCTCCTCTTTTCCAGCTAAAGATACCCAGCTCCTTCAAACGTTCCTCATAAGGCTTTGCTTGGGCAGATTCCAACTAAAGTGTTTAATCAATGCAAAGATTTCTGCTTCCACAACAGAACTCTCCCCCCCTCCCCACCATGAACAGCCAGCACCTTACCCAAATTGCACTAGAGGGTTCGGTGAATCCCCAGAATCACAGAATTGTAGAGTTGGAAGGGACCCTAAGGGTCATCTAGTCCAACCCCCTGCAATGCAGGAATCTCAATGTGGCTGATTCTCAGTGGCTAGATTCTGCCTCTGCTGCTGAAGGCAGTTTGGCTCTGCATAGCTGTTGCTGGGAATCACAAGTGGTGATAGGGCTGCTGTTCTGCTCAGGTCTTGGTTTTGGGCTTCCCAAAGGCATCTTGCCGTGAGAACAGGATGCTGAAATAGATGTGCCAATGGCCCAAGGCAGCAGGCTCATCTTATGTTTTAAGGTTCTTATACTCATCCCAACTTTTCACCCCCAAGAGATGAGCAACACAATTCTTCCAAGGAATAATTCTCCCAAGGAAACAGACCAAGGAACCTCCAGTGTACTGTATATTTGAAGCAGTCTGGTTAAGACCTTGAAAAGCGCAGAGTCTGGCTACAGTCTGTAAGCAGGGATGAATGAAAGTAGCTTCTTTGGAGGAGGAAACCACAAGCCCTTGGGGAAGTAATAAATAAGTTGGTTCCTCTCAGTCTTCCTGACAAGTTGCTTACCAGATGTCTTGACTCAAACCATGACAATAGTCTCTCTGGTCAATGGGCTTTTTATTTTAGGCAATCAAGGGTTCCTAAGTAAGTAAATCTGGGAAGTTCAAAATTGGTTAAGTTGGTTATCTGCTGCTGGAGAACTTCTCAACCACTTGGAAAGTTTTTGCATATGCTCTTGAAAATCTCAGGTTTCACAGTATATATATTTTTGGTCTATGTATATATTTTCCCCCTGCTTATTACCTGTGAGTATCTATAAATGGCTTCTACATCCTACCCTCACACTTAAATTATTGTTGCATTCATATCACACCTGTATGGGTGGATTTTAGCCTGTGAGGAACATGACATTGCAGTCTCCTGGCCTGAGGAGACTTTACAGGGGTCTGCTAAAACCATTAAAGAAACTAGTCTCAAGGCTCTGAGAAGTTTTCCTCTCTCTGATCACTGGCAGAGAAGATCAAAGGGCTCTGAGTCCTATTCCATTTCTTTATTGTCTCAAGCTGGGAACAGCAGGGCGGGTGACAACCCTATTTCCTTTCCAGGCTAGCAACTAGGGATGAGGCTGTAAAGATTATAACCTTTGTTCATGTTCTCACAAGATGCTTACTGTGTGGTAAATGGCCTTTGTTACCTCAGGGAGTTTTGCATGCTGTTCAATTGCAGGATAAAGAGCCATTTACTCCCAAGAATTTGCAGACTGTGGCATTTCTTCTCTTTCTCTTATAAAGTACATATGAAAATACTTTGGAGTTTAAGGAATGCTATCCTCACTGAAGGCTACCCATAATACCAAGATAAAGCTGTTCATTTGAACACTCCCACCTGGTAGCTATCATTGCTATTCACTTCTGAATATTAAGGAGAAAATGTGTGGGCTAATACTTTGATTGAATTATAAGCCTCTATGTAGAATGTGTTTGTGTGTGCATGATTAATTTTACTCCCAAATAAACTAGCAGGTAGTTATGTTTACCCTTTCTTACCCAAGCTGAAGGGAAATATATAAAATATCTTAAATGATAGTTTTGAACACACATACACACACACACACACACACATCACAATTGGGTTGCTTGTAAAATAGTACAAAAGCAGCCAGACTTGTTTTAGCACAGGTGAGTTCTGCACTCCCTAGGCGTCATCGGATTCTTTGGACCAGTGGGCACATTTTGAATTATGAGGCTTGCGGGCGCCAGTCACAAAATGGCTGCCATGGCACATAGCATAATATAAGCTGGCTGCTGGGAGGGGGCGTGGCATAACACACAATTAGACCATATAGTCATTGAGGCTGGAGCTGGAGAAGACAAGCTTGCCCAATTTGCATGTGGCAGCACTTTAGATAGTTGAATATGGCCACAACTCCTGTCACCACTAGCCATATTGGACTCCAACAGCCACCTGCAGAGTCCGGGGTTAGCCACCCTGCCCTAGACAAAGAACACAAAGAAGCTTGTTTGCAAAGGTGGTGGCTTTGGCAAATAATTCACTTTGCAAGTCTGTGTCTAGCCTTCATATTCTTACATGATGCTGTTTTTCAGGCAGAAACAGACAGTAGGTGCCTCTTCCTTCGGTTGTGATGTTATCTCATACTGAAGGGGGGGCATTCCTAAGGTGGAATTAGGGTCAGTACCTCACAACTTGAATTCCTGACTCCTTTGTCCTTCCAGGACCAGAACACAGCAATTTAGAATCTCACACTAATACGTTGCCAACCCAGGAAATTCCTGTTAAGCCCCTTCACGTCATAAAGAATGCTGGCTTTAAAAGGTATCCCTAATACAAACCAATAAACCTTAAAAGATGACTACTTTGTGGACTGAGATAGCAGGGTTGCTGGGTTTGTTTTTTTCCTTGGGCGTTTTTCTAGCTGCACATCAGAGAGCATTTTAATGAGAAGACGACAGAAGGTTGTGAGGTTCCCTTGGCAGTAGGGGGAACACAGAAATCATTACGTTTATCAGTATTTCCACAGAACAAAGGGGTGTTTTTTTATGTCAGAAATATTAATTTAACAATGGAAGGGGTGCCCAAACCAAGCAGGGAAATCCAGTTGAATGAGGGTAGGGAAATAATGGATCTCTCTTGGATATGTATTAATGTACTAAGGTGGTTAGGAGGGGAGTACCACCGTATTTTAATGGCTATGAATATCTCCACCACCTGCTCTCCTAGCTTTCTTAATATGGACTGTAAGGGAAAGTGAACCAACTTGAGCATAATGCATTACAGTGGGATTCTATGAAGCCCCATTGAATTCAGCAGGGGGTACTACCAACTAGGTAAGACAGCAGACAAGAGGAGGAGAAATGTTTGTGGCCTGGAGTTGGAGAGATGGAAGTTCATATATTAATTCAATATAATCAGTGATATATTTGGACTACTGCAGACTTTTAACTTAAGTCAGGCTTCCACCAGCACTGCAGGATAGCTTTATTTTAAATGTTTTGATCCCGCACTGCCACTTGCTAGATAACCATTTGGGGAGAAGTGGTGCTGCCATTCATTTCATTTTCTAGGCTACTAAAGTATTGATTTATTCCACTGAATTGTATGGGATATAACTGCGTAGTCTGTGGCCTCACCTGTAGCCTCAGCTACAAACCAACACGAGACCAAAGCAAGGTTTTACATCTTTTTGGCCTAATTTTTCTAGGATAGGTGCAGCATTTCCATTCTTCTGGGGTTTCTCCCAGCCTGCAGAATTTCACAGTAACGACTGCCAAAGACCTCAAAGTGCCAGGCCCCTTTCAGGTAACTAGGATGCAGGCAGGACTCTTTATATTCTATAAATTTACGCAAAATATAGAAGTTGGCACTCAATACAAAATTCAGCATCCCAAGAAGCTTAGTTTTTGCTTCGTATTGGGTTGAACAAGTTTCTAGTCTTGGCTGCAAAAATACGACATGGGAAGGTGCAATGCAGTGCCTCACAAGTCAGAGGGTGAATTCAGCTTAGCTCTCAAGAGAATTTTCATTACCTTGAAACTTCCCAGAACCAGCAAATTATGCAAAATAGATGCACATTTGCTTTATCTGCATAACAAACAGATTACAGAATTCACCTTTTCTTGACACAGAACTTTGACGTTTTGTGTTTGCTTTAAATAAAACAAGCCCTATGGCTACACCATCCAGGCCCATTGATTTTAAAATGTGGAATTGATCCATACAATTTTTATTCAGTTCTTAAAACCTGATTGTCTTATTGTTTCTGTCAGGTGCCTGGACTACTGATCTCCTGTTAAGTTATATCTTCATATATCAAGATGACAAATACATTTAATGCCTCTGCCTTTGCTGCATCATGTGTTCCTAGGCTTATAACAATTCAGTATGTGTCTCACAATGTCTTTGGTAGCTGTCGTTTCTAATGTGTTTAAAATACCTTGCTTTTTACTATTTGTGCATGTCTTTGTGTTCCTGTTAGATCTTTGATTCATCATCATTTCAACAAAAGCCTACTGTTAGACAAGAGCAGCCTCTGGAGGAAATGATATTATGTTTAAAAAAACTGACTTACCACTGCAAAAAAGTGGCTTAATCTTCATGTTTTCAAACTTCTAAAACAATTATTTAAAAGGTGAGATCGTTGTCAATGTTAAGAAGAAGCAATCAAACACCAACCTACAAAATCTGCTTCTTCCACACAAAGGCAACAACATGATACTTCACAAATTACTCCTGAGTATTACCACTGCTGCACAGTATTGAAGTTAGCTCTGCTAAGGTGATAGCCATGGATAGCCATTCACTCTTTTTTCTTCTTCTTCTCCTCAACCCAATTAACTTAAAAGGTTACGCTTCCAATGTCAAGGTTATGGCTTCCAAATTATAAGGCAATGCACACCCTTCACTACTGAAAAAAGAAAAAATGCATTTACAGATGCGCAGCTGAGTGGGAATTTATATTGGTAAGTGGCTATTATATACTGGCCACAGAACATAACTAACAGAAGAATGTCATCGTATCCAATTTTCCTTGAAGAGGGAAAGACTTCCAATTTCTCATGGTCAGATCTGATCTCTAATGCAGATGTATTCCCCATTCTGAGTTGTGGAGAGGCACGGTGGTTATTTAGTGCCTTCCCTGATCACAGCAGTTAAAGAAGACAGCATGGTGATAGCCTGCTCCTTTGTATCAAAATGACCTACCTGATTCTGAGCAAGCAGCTGTCTTGCATGTCACCTGGATACTCTCTGGGTGTCAGGGTTTTGTGTTGTTTCTGGATCTTCCATCTGAATGGTGACCCCCCACCGGTTACTGGAGTCGAATGCCACAAAAGTCAGTAAAATGAGATACACAGAGAGGGTTGGGCTAGATTTTATTTCAGGTTTGCTTTGTGCTACCAGCCTTCTTTGGGAGAGGACAGCAGCATTCATGAGTGTGATACCAACCAGTCAATGCACAACGCAACACACAGCGACAAAAATGCTGCCAGCGACAACTTAACACGTACTCTGTGGCCTGCTCAGCTCGCACCAAGCCTGCCTGATCGAGAAACTGGCTCATAGGCAGGAGGTAGCCAGTGGGTGGCATTTATCTCTCTATGTGCTCTTGGGAAAACAGGAGGACTTATAGGCCAGAGATCTCTGCTTCTCAGATCTCCCTTTGAGCCTTAGCCCTTTGGCGGGGATTTCCCATTTGCTCCTGGACAGGTGTTCACATTATTCCAGTCAAGGAAGTCTACAGCTACCTCATCCCAAACTGTGGGGACGGCTCTTCTGCTGTTGGATAACAAAGCTGACTAGCAGCTTCTCGTGCGCATGGCTAAAAGGGATACTCCGAGGCATCAGAAGTGAAATCCTCCTTCTACAAGTAACTTAGTCATAACCTGTGCCCCAGTACACCAGCATTTGCCAGTTACGGGCACGGCTGTAGGCAGTGGTGTTCCGGCCTGCTCTCGCTAGATTCGTTTCAGGATTGATACCTAACCCTTGGAATGTGAGCTGTGGTTTGCACAACAGCTACAATCCCTGATACAATCCCCGAGGAGGGGGAAGGGCCATGGCTCTGTGGTAGCGCAACTGCTTTGCATTCAGAAGGTCCCAGGTTCAATCCCGGGCATCTCCAGGTGGGACCGGGAATGTTTCCCTACCTGAACACCTGAGAAGCCACTGCCGGTCAGCGATGACAATACTGAACTAGATGGACCAATGATCTGACTCAGCGTAAGGCAGCTTCCTGTGCTCCTAATGCGCCTTCATCCAAATGTGGCACGGCTGCACTCAGGGCCCACTGAAGCAGACACCCCTTGTTCCTTCCAACGCCAGCTCCATCGACAGCACCACAGCACCCCCTGCAGGAGTAGGGTGGAAACCGTCTCTGGGAGATCTGTACTAGTATCTCCTTGGTTCGCGCAGGGGGGGAAGGAGCACTTCATCTATTCTACAGTGAGTCAGGATGTGCATTCCTCTCCTTCAAAACTGCCATCTAAACCGGATCCAGTCACAGAGGGTGGATTGTAATCTTGTCAGGGATTCAAGGTGCTCTCAGTCTGCTCGCCGGATAAACCAGATCTCATTGCGGCGGTTAGGGACGCCAGGGTTCTGGTACGCAGCCACCAAGTAGGTTTCGCGGAGCACATTGTCTGTGGAGCCCAGCAACTCCCAGAGAAGGTGAATCTCCCGCAGGATTGTTTCTTCTGTGGTGGTCCCATAAAACACCCTTTACACAAGGTGAACAACAAAACAATTGCCCATAAAGATCTAGTGCTGTGACTGTTTCTCTGCTCACCCGTCCCTCTATCCTTCACTACGTCTTGGAGGGTGGGGGAATTGGAGAGATCCAGCTTTCTTTCCCGTCTCCATAACAGGATCTCACTTAGCCACTTTCTTCCCTGCCATGCATTCCCTTTCTCCCAGCTAGGATAAGAAAAAACAAAAAAAATTCCTTCCAGTAGCACCTTAAAGACCAACTAAGTTAGTTCTTGGTATGAGCTTTCGTGTGCATGCACACTTGAGTGTATCTGAAGAAGTGTGCATGCACACGAAAGCTCATACCAAGAACTAACTTAGTTGGTCTTTAAGGTGCTACTGGAAGGAATTTTTTTTGTTTTGACTATGGCAGACCAACACGGCTACCCATCTGCAACTAGGATAAGAAAGCTTCCTTCCTTCCTTCCTTCCTTCCTTCCTTCCTTCCTTCCTTCCTTCCTTCCTTCCTTCCTTCCTTCCTTTAGAGACCTGTGGCACATAAAACATATTCCTAGCATGCATGAGTCAGGGCCCACCTGGCGATAACCCGAAGTGGTGCTCTCTCTTGTATCTGGATGTCGGGGTCCAAGGGGAGAGGGGGGTTAGGTTGAAATTCTTCCGGGAGGTAATAGGCAGTGATGACTTCTTGAAGCAATTCTGTGCCCTCCTTGTTCAGGTGGATCTCGTTGATCACTGGCACTGTCATCCCCAACTGGCGACCTAGATAAAAACACACGTAAAGACACCAGAGAGTGAAAGAGGAGGATCTGCAGAAACCCAGCTCTGGCCTTTCCAGTTCCAGCGGGTCTAGCTGCTGCAGGCTTCCATGTCCCTGCCATGATGACACTTGCTTCCACATACCTAGGGAGTTCTCCTTGCAGATGTACCGTATTAGTTTCATGAAACCCATAGAGATGCTTTGCTCATATTTGGGTTCTCCTCTGGTAATGCATGCCCATTTCCCAGCTGGGTACAGTCGTTCCTCGTAGGCTATCTCCTCACACTGAACCAAGAAGGAAAAAGAATTAGTGAGAGCTAGGCATTCAAACAACACAGGATGGGAATTACGTACTGAAAAAGCGTTGGCACTGGAGGGAAGGGAAGAGTAACTCACAGTCCGTCCTGTGCAAATGAAGTGTTGCATCTCCACTGCCAAATATTAACTAAATTTATATTCCACTTTTCCTCCGGAAAGCTCAAGGCAGCAGACATTGTTCTCCCCACTTTCTGTTTAGCCTAACAACCACCCTGTGAGGTAGGTTAGGCCCAAAGTGAGGTTATTGGCAGAGTGGGACTTTGAACCAGGTCTTCCCAGCTTTAGTTCAGTATTCTACACCACTCTGGTTCTTTGCATGGAATAACCAAACAGAAAGGCTGATAGCATAGGCCAGATACATCTCAATATTGTTAGGCAAAAACTGGCAGTTACAAAGAGAATAGAGATTTCTCCTTTGTGACAGGTTGTAACATCTTCCAATTTTTAATTTTTTTTAAAGAATCAGCTGCATTAAAGCACACTCAACACAGCATAAAGTATTAGGATGCTTTTCACTAGGGTAATCATCATTGCTTCTCTAAACCACTACAGATAATTGGGAAATTCTTCAAAATATATTTGTCAGGATAATAAACGGATTATAACAATGTCCTATCTACAGAATATACTTTAATAAAAGGCATCACTGTTTTAGCTAATTGTTTCTGAATTAATAAAAGCATTAACCTGGAGCTCCACAGCATTGAAAAGTTGCTTAAATAGTTATTTTGTCAGTTATCACTAGGGTAGGTTTATTATCCCGGCTGTTACACTAAGACGCAAATCTCATCCTTTCCTCTTATGAACATTGTAAAAACAGAGCTCGTAGCCACAAGTATAACCCTGCCCTAAAGGGTGCAATCTACCCAGGCAAACTAAACAAAAATTACTAATGACACAGAAATGAATGATTAATTATTAATGTAAGGGTTTTTTAAAGAGCAGGAGCCGGTAAGTCTGTATGTTTATATTATAGGAGTCAAGTTAGCTAGCTCAACGGAAAGTGAGATGGGAGGAAACTCATCAATGCAGGTGGGAAAGAAAGAAAACAACAAGTGTACATCCAACTCCTTTCGGTGCAGAAAAAATATAGAAAGCAACACAATGCCTTCAGCAGTCCCAGGAACTATCCTGCACATCTTTGGAGCAACAGCTGTATAGACACAATGCAATGTTTCAGAAGACAAAATATCCAACTTTTCTAAGGCATGCATGCAGTTTTGGGTTGGAACAGGACAGAGGGGGGATGAAGTGACTCTTCCATAAAGCATTTGCATGGAATTATTATTGCTAACGAGAAATGAAGAAGAAAACTACAAAGAAAACCCTTCAGAGACTTTACTTCATGAAGTAATTGCAGAGACAGTAGCACAATTTAACATAGCAGTAGTATAATTGCATTAAAGCTGATAAATACCACTTTTATTGCCCTTACTTATGGCCATATAAACTCAGTTCAGATGTAATGACAAACCACGATTTGATGCTGGTTTGGGATCTTGGAATGAGGCAAATGTTGGTCTGTGAAATGACAGTTTTTTGCATTTGGATGAAAACAGGAAACTATGGTTTGACACAAATCAGAAGCTTCTGCTTTTAACCTCACCTTGCGTATGAAGGAATGAGAGAACCAAGAGAGAACACCTACTCATTCTCATAATAATTATTATTGGTTTGTTATTACATCTGAATTGAGTCAAAAGGAATACTGGAAAATATATTTGAAGGATCTAGGTTACTTGAGGGAGCTCGAGGCCACATTCCCACCTCTGAGTGCCTGAAAGTCAAGCTGCACTTCAGGAAATGGATGCAGTTTTCTCACTAAAACTGAAAGCTGACCTTGCTTTCTGACTCCATACAAATACAGGTCCAAGGAATCAAACAAAAGACAAGGAAGTGCTTGTAGATTGACAAATATAGACTTACTGCTCCTTCAACAACCAGGGGAAAACAGAAACTACTTTAAAGTAATTTTCGCTCACATGATATTAAAAATAACAGAAGACCAGGTGGACTGAATTCAATATAGACATCTGTATTGAAGAATCCCAAGGTTGTGCATGCTTTTGATCCTGTTAGTACTGATATGCAGAGGCTGAGCTAACGTTACGACAACAGGAAGATAATACTAGCGAGCTGCCCATCACTGCAATTGGCAGTGGTGGGTGAACAAAAAAGAGGGAGTGTTTGGGAAGGGCACTATGTGAGGGGTAGGCCAGGAGCGGCTAACCTTTCTCAGCTTGAGAAACTCTCTCTGATGTCCACATGCCAGCGCACAGGCACACACGCTCGCAACTCAGCAGAAGAGTAGCTTACACAGGCAGGCTGATGCACATACATTCAGGCAGAAGCATATACTCAGCAGAAAGGTGGGCAGGTAATTAAGTACCCATTTCCAAGGAACTTGCCCAAAGGCAGCAACCACCACCATGACCATGGGCATTTTCTTCACCCATTTCTTCCTTGCAGCGGAGAAGTTATCTGCTATGGTGCTTCTTGCACCTTCGTGCCAATGCCCAACAAAAAGCTATGTCTCCAACAATAAGGTCACAATTTTGGGATTGGGGGAAGTAAACTGTATGCGAGATCCTTCTGAGCCCTGGATCCAGCAAGTGTTCAAATATAAGCCCCGTGTTGAGGTGATAGCCTGGTGACCGGCTGTTAAGGGAAACACAGGAAAGGGGCTCTGTGTGAGATGGCAAGTGGGTGAGGCCCCTCCCGCAGCTCCTTAGCAGGACAAAGCTAGAGTTTGGAGTTGAGAGTGAAGTGATGCCACCCAAAAAGAAAAAAAAGAGAGAGTGAAGTGATGCAACCTAGAGGGAAAGCAGCCAGCTGGAGAGACGAGCCAGAGCAATGCTTGAGAGCATGTTTGATTTCTGTTTGGATTCAAGGAGAGAAACAAGAGCCTTTTGCAGTGTTAATGCTGTGAACTGTGCTATCATAGGCTCAGGCTGTATATAAGAGTAAATAAACCATGTATCATAAAGACACCAAAGTCTTTTGAAAAGGAGGCATGAACCCTGGGTAAGCACCTGGAACCCTGGGAACTTGGCGCACTAATTTTCTAGAGCCGGCATAGTGCTCTGTTTGCATTCTGTTGTTCTGTGCTTTGGCTGCGCTTGAGAATGATAGTTAGAGATCTGTATCTCTTCATCAGACACTGGCTGTGTACACACTATAAAGCGCATACAAAACGCATAATTTCCCCTGTAGTTTAACCTAGTTTTTACAATTCCCAGCCACCCTTAAGAAACTACGGTGCCAATAATTGTTTGAGGGAAAGAATGTGATTTGAATGTGCTTCAAAGGTGTAGTGTACAAACAGCCATTGGTGCAAAACTACAGGAAGCTTCTGTTGACCTACTTATGCTAATCACTGTGCCATCACCAGCTGTGATGCGTTCAGCAGAAATCAAGTTATTGTTCCTCTTTGCAGCCTGCAAAGGACATCGCAGGCAGTTTTCAACTAGCACTATTAATACAGTAGTGCGCCTGGATGCTGAAACATGCAGTCAGGAAGGGATGTTTTTGGGATGTTTTTACAAGCCCTGGTTCACAGGAAATTGCCAAAAAGTATCTGAAGGCACTTGGGGAAGCACAACAAAGACAAACATCAACTGAAAATTTTTAAAGGGCGGAGGGTAATTTTGGGTGGTTTAAGTCACCACTGATTTGCTGCCAAAGTGTCAGGAAGTCCCAGTGAGCCATCCCAAATTCTGTGGTAGCCACCACTGCTATACAGTATGACTGCATCTTACACCCATTTAACCTGCATGATTTCAACCATATGCGGTTGAAGACCGGCCTGCTTGGGGTTATCCAGCTCATAAAAAGCTTTTAAACTCTCTGCCTTGCTTGGGAGGAAAGGCCTGGTCAGAGCACCTGCTCTGGGATGCTTGCTTGAGATGTTGTGGGGCCAGCTGAGTGGCCGTGAGAACTCGCACGAGCATCCCTAGTCTCCCAGAGCCCATGCCTTGAGTGAGACTTCCCCAACAAACACAGCAAAGAGCTTAAAAACTCTTTCCGTAGTGGGTCCACTTGGGTTACCCAGCGTGAAGAGCTTGTAAGCTCTCTGCCTTGCTTGCTGGGCAAGGCCAGCTCAGCATATGGCTCTGGGAATACAGAGCATTCTCTCTCATTCCCCATAACCCACTAGCCATGGGGGCAGGGTTGGTTCCAAGGGTTTGGGTATATGTGGTTTCTGTTTATACACAGATCCTTTAGAAGCAACCCACCTGCGTAAGATTTGATCATACCATATGCACTTACTTAGGAACAAGTCAACTGAACTCAACGAGGCCTGCTACTGAGTAGACAAGTATAGAATTCCAGGAGGACAGATTTTGCACAAGTTTAAGGATGGCAAAAACTTGCATTGGAGTGTGGGGGAGTCACTAATAATAATAATAATAATAATAATAATAATAATAATAATAATAATTTATTATTTATACCCCGCCCATCTGGCTGGGCTTCCCCAGCCACTCTGGGCGGCTTCCAAAAAATATTAAAATACTGTAATACACCAAACAGATGCTATTCTGAAGAATGTTGGAGGGGAGAGGGACATGTTACATGACTTATATGCTCTTTTCTCCACAATATACCACAAAGCTATGTCAGCCAGGTATATACACATACATTATTTTATTTACAAACAAGTTTGTATATGTGAGAGTGCTCACCTTCTCATGCTGTGACAAAGTAGCGTAGGGCACAGGCTCTCGAGTCTGGTTATGGCGCGCCATTTGCATTATTGGACCTGCCATCTCTAGCAAAACAGAGTCAAGTAGTGGGGGATTCACTTTAAGACTGAAAAATATCTTTAGACGTTAAAAAAAAATCTGTAGAAACCTACATTTTTAAAACAAGCAACTCTCATTAGTACCGATAGGGTACACTATAGATCTAAACATGTAAAGAGGAGACATAACAGCATGGAGAGCCACCAGTAATCTAGCTCCCTACTTTCCAGCCAAGGAGGCCTCTCCCTTCTCCAGCTGCCACTACAGGACTATTCAAGAACCATAGTCTCCTACAGGGAGGAGAAAGGTTGATTTTTTAAAAAAAAAAATCACCTGCTTCTTGCAGCTTGTCTTGGTTGTTGTATTATATAGTTTCGATTGATGCTGGTTGTTTTAACGGGTGGTATCCAATGCACTTGTTCTGTTCACACAAGGTTTTTTGTTTGTGCAACGGAACTCCTGCCCTTCTCCTCCCCGCACCCTCCTCAAATCATCTCCAGAAGGATGGAGGAAATCCCAGAACAGATTTAGGGAGCATGTGCAGAGAAAATCGGGTCTGAACGGCCCTCCAACCAGTGGTGGAGGAAGGGGGTGCGATAGGTGCAGGCCGCCCCGGGTGTCATCACTGAGGGGGGTGACAAAATGCCGGGCGGCACTCACCACAGGGCCTGCAGCGCACCTGAGCCACACATCTCTCCTGGGAGAGAAGCAATGGCTTGGGTGCGCACAGGCTGCACCCCGCCCAAACGGTCCACCAGCTGCCTCGTCCACCAGCTGTAGGGTAGCTGAGTGGGAGGAGGCAGGCAGACTCCAGAGGCCCCACGGTGCACCCCACCCCTAGGTGCACCGCCCAGACGCCCAAGCAGCTTCCTCTGCCACTGCCTCCAACCCTCAGGGTATTGGGGGTGGGGGTCTGCAAGGGAGAGGAGAGGAAAACACTATTGCACGAGTGGAAGTTTGTTGCACTAGTAGAAAAACAGCACTGGAGACAACCCACAATTTCTGGGGAGAGCCCATGTACACATACAATCTTTTAAGGACAAGGAGAACCTTAGCTTTTTAGCTTAGAGGGGAAACTGGATTTGCACAATGCTGAGTGGCTGGCCCTTGTGTCAATCATGGAGCCATCTGTTGCTCCTCCTTCCTAGAGTCAGGCTGTGCACAGCACTGATTGGTTCACTTGTCTGTGTCACAAAGCACCCTCCCGGCCTCTGCTGCAGCACATTTCAAAATTTAAATAAATTCTTTTAAAAGCCTTTTTTTAAAGCACCAAACAAAGCATTAGAGCAGATAAGCATGACAGCTGCTTGGGACCTGCCCACACCAGTTTACTGTGTGTTTGCAATTGTTGGGGTTCCCATTTAAATTGCATAACCGATTAAAACACTACCAATCTCAATGCTTTTCCTCTGTAAATTTGGGTTTACCTGATATGGGGATAATCCATTAAAATTGGGAGAAATTGGGCTCCAAATCACCTCACTTAGGGATGCAGGCTATTTGTTCTGCTCTTTTGGGGTGGGTGGATCAGGCATCACCTTCTGCTATTCACCTTTTCAAGGCTTTCATTTTTTTCCAGCTGTGCTCCTATTTTTCTGGCATGCTCCTGAGTGCGCGAACAAAAACCAAAAAACTGCAAAAGTGTGTGATGAGACTTTATAATTGCCTGGCTTTTGCTCACTTTCTTTATTTTTTTTTTTAAGGTGCACTCACAACTATCTGCAAGTATGCTCTTACTTGTCAAAACAGAAGCAATAAATTAGAAGTCGGGAACAAACAGAAAAGGGAGTGCCTACTAGTATGAACAGGATAGGCTGAAAGGGCTCCTTACATACAAATTCAAATACATGTGGCTATGAACTAATCAGGTCTAATTCAAATGACGGGGGGGAGTGGATTAACAGCTAAATAAAGCTCAAATGTGGACAAGCCCTTGGTGTGTGTGTGTGCATGCTAGAAAATAAAAAATGAAATGTGGGAACAGTTTTGAGCTAGAGGCTGTGCATGTGAAGGCAGACGTTCAAAGGCAAGTAGAAGCAGACCTCACCTTGCAGATTAAAAATCTACTTCCTCCTCTCTTTGGAGGTGCAGCCTAAAATTGCGACTGGAATGCAAATTCATACCTTGGGGGAGAGACACTTGGTGAGTGCTGGCTACTGTCTCCCAATGAGAAAACAGCCTGTTCTGTTCCTCCCCATCCATTGGTTCATCCTCTTCATCAGGGACCTCATCATCCAGTTCATTCAGTTCTTCAAGTGTAATACGAGCCATAGTAACACTGTAGCTCCTGCAGAAAATGCAACAGAAAATTTTATATCATGAGCAGTTTGAGTAATGATACCACTGCATCTACAGGGGAAGTGCTATTGGCACAGGATACCATTTTCCTGAGTGCTATTAAGACATTTCCCTTTGCCACAAAGGTTTGGGGCAACATAAAGGTAAAGGTACCCCTGACCATTAGGTCCAGTTGTGACTGACTCTGGGGTTGCGGCGCTCATCTCGCTTTATTGGCCGAGGGAGCCGGCGTACAGCTTCCGGGTCATGTGGCCAGCATGACTAAGCCGCTTCTGGCGAACCAGAGCAGCACACAGAAACGCCGTTTACCTTCCCGCCAGAGCGGTACCTATTTATCTACTTGCATTTTGACGTGCTTTCAAACTGTTAGGTTGGCGGGAGCTGGGACCGAGCAACGGGAGCTCACCCCGTCACGGGGATTTGAACCGCCAACCTTCTGATCGGCAAGTCCTAGGCTCTGTGGTTTAACCAACAGCGCCACCCGCAGGCAACATAGGGTTGTATTAAATGAAGTTGTCCTGCCCATCTTTCCATTGACATGCAAATTTATTTATTGGACAGGTTTAAAAAAACAAAACAAAATGGGAACAGTGTGGGGCAAGGGGAGGGAAGTCACAAAAATATGATTTCCCATGTGTGGCCAGTTTTCAGACATACTGATTTCGGAAGTGTTCACATGCATGTAAGTTACATATGAACTTAAGCTGTCCACTCAGGAGTAATTACCATTAATTCCATGAGAATAACTCAGATATTATCAAATTGCAGCCTTTCATTCTCTTATTGAATAGAAAAAGTATTTAAGATTCAATGTCCAAAGAAGCCCCCAGTATTCAATATGTGAATAACTTATTTATATACGGCTATCATTCATCTATGTAGATGGTTTATCTTTAAAATACCTTAAATTTCTTTCTGTAATAAATAATAATACTAATTTTATTATTTATACCCCAGCCACTCTAGACGGCTCCCAACAAAATATTAAAAACACAACAAAACATCAACCATTACGAACTTCCCTGTAGAGGGTTGCCTTCAGATGTCTTCTAAAAGTTGTGTAGTTCCTTACTTCACATCTGATGGGAGAGTGTTCCACAGGGAGGGCGCCACTTCCGAGAAGGCCCTCTGCCTAGTTCCCTGTAACTTCACTTCTTGCAGTGAGGGAACTGCCAGAAGATCCTCAGTGCTGGACCTCTGTGTCCGGGCTGAATGATGGGGGTGGAGATGCTCCTTCAGGTATACAGGCCAAGGCTGTTTATGGTTTCACATGGAGCAATCATATCCATGTTTAGTTTGAAATGTTCTGCTGACTGCTGTTCATACTCCCAGGTAAGCAAAGGATTTCAACCTTAATGATCCTTAATTTCTTTACATATAAACATGCAAGCAGCTTCCTAAAGTAGTATTTCATGGGTCTACTCAAGGAACAAGGCATTAATATGTATACAGTGCATTAAAATTTCCCATCATTCCATGTCTATTTTACTTGTATGTAGTAAACAATGATAAAAATTTTGAAACTGCTTGGCTAGACTATTATTGTATTCAGCCATTGCTACTAGTTAATTTATGAAATGGAAAATGAGGTAAAAAAATAATTAGCCGTTTTGGTTTCAAGCCAGTTTCCTAGTGGAGTTTGTATGTACAGTATGTGCTACAGACATACATAAATGAAATATATTTATCTTTTCCTTGAATAACTCATCTCATAAACAGTAGATGTTATCTGTCATTCACATTGGGTTGCATCAGAACAAGGTTATTTGCACTTAGGTACCATTAAAAAATAAATGTTAAAAGTTGGACATCACTTAAATTCTCATTACTTCAATAGGACTCAAATACAACTACTCTGGCCCCAACCCGTTGTTAGGAATTCTTTAGCATTTATAACTGCAAGGTAAAGGTAAAGGTACCCCTGCCCGTACGGGCCAGTCGTGTCCGACTCTGGGGTTGTGCGCCCATCTCACTTAAGAGGCCGGGGGCCAGCGCTGTCCGAAAACAATTCCGGGTCACGTGGCCAGCGTGACAAGCTGCATCTGGCGAGCCAGCGCAGCACAAAGAAACGCCATTTACCTTCCCGCTATAAAGCGGTCCCTATTTATCTACTTGCACCCGGGGGTGCTTTCGAACTGCTAGGTTGGCAGGCACTGGGACCGAACGACGGGAGCGCACCCCGCCGTGGGGATTCGAACCGCCGACCTGACGATCGGCAAGTCCTAGGCGCTGAGGTTTTACCCACAGCGCCACCCGCGTCCCATTTATAACTGTACACTTCTCCAAATTATTTTGAAACTTCTACAGCTAATGCCACCTCATCATAAACCATATTTTAAAAACAAATTGTTACTGTGTCATCACAGATTTATTATTATTTTGTGATCACACTATCCTAACCACACCCAGTCAAAGCAAGGATCCTTGAGGAACCTCCCTTTAGAATTTACTACAGTATTATACCTATTTATTTTAATTCAAATTCTGACCAAGAAAAGGTTATCCTTTTTCTGCTTTGACCCTTAAGATAAGGTTTTCTCCACTTTACTCTGAGCTCCTAATTGGTTAGGTATAGCTTCATTAGAAAAGTTATCTTGCCTTAATGGTCTGTATAAAACAGTAAGTCAAGATCCACCTTCTGCCCACTCCTGTCTTGAGAGTCAGACAACAGTGCACCATTGAAAGAAATGGGGCAGAGTCACAGTATAGGAAGGTTTTAGGCAGAAATACAACTGACACCATATTTTTCCTGCTTTCCATCATCTTCATCATCGATAGGAAGACTCAGAAGATGCAGTTTTCATTTGCAGTCTAGCAATGCAGTGATGTTGAATTTCCATCAAAAGGGCAGACTGTTCTGTCAAGACAGGGGGAATGGATGGGTGCAGGGTCACAAAGCCTGAGGTGCAAGTAGGTGGGTTGTACTGATTGGAATATGGAGCATAAAAAGATGATGGGGGTTGGGAAGACATGTAAGAGAGCTTCTCTTGGGCAACAGCTGGAGTCTATGCAGGTGTATATGTTGGGGACACAGTGTTTTCTTTTCTTTTAAAATATTTTTAAAATTCATATTACGTTGAGACACTATGCAGCAAAAACCATTATACATCTAATACTGTATCCTTGCTTTGCATGCAAAAAAGCAACACAATCCCAAATAAAATAAGGAAAAAATAAAACCAACAAGGAAATGACCTACAAACAGGAGGGACAGAGTAACAAAAGCACTATAATACCATGAATGAATGAAAGGAAAAGCACTGTCATTTACTTTGGTGTTCCAGAAACACATAAAAGGCCCACCTCTCAATCAATTTGTTTCCTTAGAATCATAAAATTGCATAGTTGGAAGGGACAAGCGTCATCTAGTCCAACCCCTTTATTTAGTAGTGCATTTCTCTCCTTTTTGTAGTGTGTTTTCTAGCAGTTTTAAAAAACCCTCTCTGTGTTATTGCATTGCTGATTACCTTTCTTATTATCATTCTATTTTTTTATATCCCGCCTTGCCCCGCCCCCACTCAAGGCAGCTTACAGATAGAATCAGCTAAAAAAGAAAAGCAGGGGGAAGAAACTAAAAAGCAACCCCTCACTAAAGAGCAATTGAATACTAATAACAACGCCACGGTACACTCGCATTCGCAATTTCCTTCACTCCGTGCACCCGTGTTTCGAAGACGGGAGCGTCTGAACAATTTAAGTAAGCCAACGAAGGAGTGAATAATAATATAGGAACGAAGGAATGAGGCGAAAGAAGCCGCTCCTGAGGGGCTCCAGGTGAGAGCCGGGGGCGGGGGCTGCTCTCCCTCGAGTCACAGGTAACAGGAGGCCAGGCGAGCCGCCCAGGTAACGGTGAGGGGACGAAGGGCGGAGGCAACCGCCACCCTCAGGGACAGCAGCCAGACGGTGGGAGGGGGAGAACCTGACCCTCAAACTCCGCCCCCGCCCAAACCGCCAATCCCCTTCTGGGGAAGAAGCGCGCGCAGCTTCCAAGCCAGGAATAGAGGAGGGGGTCTCGGGCCCACTCCCCTATTGGGTTGGGTAAAGGGAGAAGGAAAAGGGGGCGAAGCCCTTACCTGTCACTTCCTGCGTTCTCCGGCCGGCCCCGGAAGCGATTCCTGCCCGCCGAATGAAAAAGAGGCGGGAGGCCGAGCGCGAGCCGAGAACGCTGTGTGGGGCGGGGGTAGGAGGAAGGGAAGGGCAATGGGGCGGGGCTTCGGGTGACGTCACCGGGTCGGCTTTCCCACCAACTCCTCCTCCTTCTCCTCCCAACCGCACAACTTCCAAGGGGAAAGGTCTTAGGAAATCCAACCGGGATTTCCGGTTTCCCTTTGCAGCGGGTGGAAGGCGGGGCAATGTTCGTGCAGGGCAAAGGCGGAGGAATCATAGAATGGTTAGGAGAGGGGACCCCCAAAGGTCCTCTAGTCCAACCCCTTGCAAGAAGCAGCGGAACGGTTGCTTAAATGATGCGTGTGTTTTTTAATTTGTTTTTTAAGTCAGGTGCGGGAACGTGGGGGAGCCGAGTCGAACCATTGGGCCGTGGGCATTTCAGTCTTGTCGAAAGGCGCGGACGCGGTTAGGGGCTCGACAAGGCTTTCAAGCGACGATTCCTCCCAGCCCCGCCTGGAGATGCGGGGATCGAACCCGAGACCTTCTGCACGCAGCGCAAGTGCTTTACTAGTGAACCACGCAGGGTTCCCAGGTGTATTTGCAGTTATTTGAAGCGCCGCATCCGTCTCGGAAAGCGGCACAAATGACACCAGTCAATGGAGGATGGTTCCCACGTGCAACTGACACGCGTCCCGTCCGGCTCCTGTGTTCATTTTCCAGTGCTCCGCGACGAGTAGCACATTAGGTTGAGATACAGCGAGAACGGCATTGCCTACTGATTTTCTACCTGTTGTCCACACCTTGAAAGCCGCAGTGCTGCATTTAGGTGCGCCCTTCTTTTGCCCTACCTACTATGAAAGCACATTTCTCCATGAAAAAATAATCATGATGTGGTATCTACTTCCACAACTTTTGGTTACAAGATAAATGCAGGCATTCGGTGGGTACCATTACAGAGCTACAGCAGTTGGGAAGGCTACATCTGTACCTGTCTACCATACCGGAAAGCCCCTTTTAAAGGCTAAAAGAAACATAGAATTGTGGAGTTGGGAGGAGTTCCAAGAACCATTTAGTCCAACCCACGTTGTTGTTTTTTGGTGGAGTGGGGGGAGTGCAGAATCATTTATCACTCAGCAGGACTACACCTCAATGCATGAAGAGTGTGTTTTGCGATTGTCTTAGGCTCAGCCTTTTGTGTCTCCAGTTCAAAAGAGTGCTTGTGCAGTTATGGAATGCTTTCTCCAACCTTGCCATTGTTTCCACAAGGTCATTTTTGTTTTCCTAGGCATTAAGGCAATACCAGTTATTTCATATTGTACTGATAGGTCTGTTTCCAATATGCTTTAAGTCATATCATTGTACCTTTTGGTCGACTTCTTTAAGTAGAGAGCAATGCATAAATTTTATAAGCATAAATCTACTGCATGCTGCTGGTGGGTCAGAACCTTGCCCCCCCCCCAACCCCATGGACCAAGTTGAGCCAAGTTGCCCACCTGCCAATCATTTTATATTACCATAGCATCAGGTGATCCGTTTTTGCTTGCGTGGTTTGAAATTAAACTGTGTGAGTTCAATTGTCTGCTGGCGCTTCAAAGCGCCACCATGTATGGCATTATGCAAGCACCAATACTAGGCTGATTTATTTATTTTTTTAACATTTATGTACACCCCTTAATTAAAAGACCACAGTGCTTTCAAAGAGGCATGTATGGCTCTGTATAAGCATCAACTATAAGCTGCATTGGGACGCGGGTGGCGCTGTAGGTTAAACCACAGAGCCTAGGGCTTGCCGATCAGAAGGTTGGCGGTTCGAATCCCTGCAACGGGGTGAGCTCCCGTTGCTCGGTCCCAGCTCCTGCCAGCCTAGCAGTTCGAAAGCATGTCAAAGTGCAAGTAGATAAATAGGGACTGCTCTGGTGGGAAGGTATACGGCGTTTCCGTGCACTGCTATGGTTCGCCAGAAGCGGCTTAGTCATGCTGGCCACATGACCTGGAAGTTGTATGCCAGCTTCCTCAGCCAGATGAGCGCTGCAACCCCAGAGTCGGCCACGACTGGACCTAATGGTCAGGGGTCCGTTTACCTTTACCTATAAGCTGCATTAGATTCCATACAAGCCCTGGGCTTTGGAGGTGCTGCTGATCAGTGGTGCCTCCAAACTCCCTTCTGAGCTAGCCATGTCTTCACTTGCCCCATACCTGACATCAGATGTCAGGCAGGTGGGTGTGACTTGCTTCAAAATGGCTTTGCAGGCCTGGTTTCCCCATCCATCCTAGAGAGTTGCTGCCAGCCCTGTGCCAAGATGAACTAACGGTCTGACTTGGTATAAGAGACCTTTGTGTATTCAAACCACGCTATTTTATTTTGAATAAGAGGCGAGGTGATGCGCTCGTTTAACACCCCACCCCGCCCCCGGTAACATTTCTGTCCCTGTACAACAATGCATGCTCATTTCTGAGAGACAGCTGCTCTCTCCCTGGTTTCATTGCCACTGTCGTCACGCGTGGCAGATGTAAAACCCAAGGCGGAAGTGTTTCAACAGCAAGATCTGCTCTGGAGACGCTTGGCAAAATGGCTTCTGTGATCGTTTTTAATTATTAAATTAAAACAACAACAATCGGAAGTAAATCACGGGTAGTAACACAGGGCTAGTGGCAGGTTCTCCCTGCGGTTATTTTCTTTGCTCTGCACTACAGTGGCTCATGCTAAGGCAGACACAGGCGATGCCAGAGGCTAGAGTGGGAACAAGACTTGTGGAGTGTATACATACCGAATCTCTATGAAGTCGATGCCTGTCTCTTTGTGTCCTTTTAAGTAAGCGGGCCGAGTGTGTGTATGGACTAGATGGGTGGGTGGGTGGGTGATAGAGAGAGAAAGAGGAGGTGATTCCAGCCCTGCCCACTGCTGTCATGAGGCCCACAAGAGACCTGAATAAATGCAGCCCTCGAGGGAGCAAAGAGGTTTCCCACCTCTGCTTTGGTTAGGCAAAGTTAATCCCCCACAAAATTGGCTAACTAGCCATCGTATTTCCATGTCCCTTCCTGTCTGCTGCTGCAGTACAATCCCCAGACACAAGAATACTCATTTGGCAAGAGCCTAGCTCTAGAAGGCTGCCGGCGGGTGGGTGATGTGGGGAGATATACTGTGCAAAAATAGATGGTACTGGGGACTATCGGGGTCAGGCACCGAAGGAATGAGCAAGCCAGCTTGAGAGGATGGACGAGAGAGCTTCTCTCGGCAATGCTATCTGGTGGGAAGGATGCACACTAAGGAAGAGGCTGAGACTCTGTGCCCAAAGTTCAGCAAGGCAGCGGGTCAAGGAAGAGATTCTGGAACTCGATTCTGTGCAATCGGTAAAACACAGCTTGCAAACATGGGGGTGGATGAATTCACCAAAGCTGCTATTCCACAGCTGGTGAAGGAGGGAGCTCCCCTTTCCGGTCTGGCAATGGTCCCTTGTGGGTTAGTGTTTTCCAATGACAGGACACACTTCTCTTCCACTGTAGTGATATCAACACGAGAGGCAATAATGAGGATTCTAACATGTGAGGACGTTACAGATGAAGTATCCAAAACAGCAATCAGCTTGAGATGGAAGTATCGGTATGGTGAAGCAGTCAACATTTGAGACGGGGTGCGGCGATCAATAATGTGGTAGGTTCAGTTAGAGGTGACCAAGGAGGTGTGAGAAGGGAGATCCACACTGCTTGCACTGAGGCCTCTGCTCTCAGCCCGAAGACCCTGGGAATCCTAAAAAAATAAATAAACCCAGATTCACTTACATATTCCAATCTTGTATTCATTAAGACCAAGAGCTTGTGTTAAAGCATGAAAAGTAACCAGCAAGTGTTCAGATTTCTCTCAATACAGCACGGCATGTTAGCCCTGAGAGATGCAATCTGCACCACTTCTGTTGCAGAAGTGATAATTAAGGCACCCCACAGTGATGATTCAGAAGTTAAGAGGGGGAAATCCTTGCCTCACACTTGATTTCCAGCTTACCCAGGGGAACTTCTCAAATGCTACAGCAGCAAATATTTCAGACACATGCACGCTTCCAGATCTGTGACCTGGCTTGCATGTAATGCTAAGCCAAACCATGGCTTGACATGAACATGCGAGCGTGTGGACTCCCAGAGAGAAGAATGCTCCCACTTTGCTCCTCCTCCAGTCCTGCTGCTGTGAGGACAAAGCATGAGCTCAGGTTCGGATGATGCACTAAACCAAGCCATGGTTTACTTCTCAGCAGCAGCATGGCCAGAAGAGCAAAGTGGCCTAGATCTGCTCCATGGGAGCTTGCATGACTGATGAGCCAAAGTTTGGCTTAGAATTAGGTGCGAACTGAACCACTATGTTTCTTCCTGCACTTAATCCAGACTATATCCCTTCCAGTGGTGATACCCAATACCCACGGGGAACTTACACATTCTGACAGGTTATACTTTTCACCTTAGCTGATCTAACTCTCTTTCCCTGCACCTGAATATTTTTTTTGTCCATTTGCAGTGACAGAAGGAGTGAAAACAACCTGCAGCTAATGCTGTTTTGGGGACATAGCAAATGGTGCTCTCACCTGGAAGGAATCCTCACTGGATTTATTCAGGTAGTTCAGTGATGCTGCCCGTTTCATGCTAAAAAAAGTAAGAAAAAAGATGTTTCCATAGCACTGGCTCCAGGCATACTAGTTTCATTCATCTGGGAATACTTTGGGTAAGAAATCTTGACTAAACCTTTCCACTCTATGTCAGAGAATATCCTTTTGCCACATATCAAACTAGATATTAGTGTCCTCAACATGCTGATGATACCTAGCTCTTTGTAACAACTGACTCAGGAGATGCTGTGCAAGCCCAACCCCAGTGCCTGGACTCAGCGGTGGGCTGGATGAGTGCCAAAAAACTGAGTCTGAACTCTTCCAAGATAGAGGCACTATGGGTGAGCGGTAGTCTGCTAAACTGGAAA